CCCGCTGGTGGAAGCAGAGAAAAACCTCTACTCCATTAGATTGATCAAGTGGAGAGCGACCTGATCAGCGAAAAAAGAGAAGAATGGCGCTCTATTTGTTGATTCGGCTGCCCTCTGTCGTCAATGTTTCATCTGTGAAACAAGGAGAGTAATTTCTTATGTGAATTTGCCTTGAGTGTTTAAATTTTGACAGATGTCGCTCGTCGTTTTAGCTTAGCTTACAGTTTGACAGTTGAAACGGTGAGAAGACGGTAAGCGACAATTGACACTTGAACATTTGCGTACAATTATATTCATGCTGTAATTTTTCCATGAAATGAAACAAGTCTGGTAAAAGTTTTTTATTTTAAACAGAACTTGTCTTCTTTTAAAAATTTCTTATTCAATATAATTATTTAATTATAATTATTTCCTGGCTTTGTTTTTACAGCAAGCTTACAATGCTTTTAAGCTTAAAATGTCTTACGTAAAATTAGGAAATAATATTCACAGAGTGCTTAGCTTAAAACAGCTTTTTAGGGAGTATGTAACATATCCATGAATTAAGGGAGGTTGGAAAAATATTCTCATTGCGCATGAGCTAAAATCGATAAAAAGAGAATTTCTGTAGGACAACAAACTCTTTATATGTTTACCTGTATACACTTAAATAAACGTTTTAAATATCAATGAATAAAATGCATTTATTTCGATGGATAAAGTCGTAATCTTTTAATTTTTTTTATGTGTTGAAACTATAATTCTTCTGAGATGCAACCGGATGCACGTCTCTTTAGTGAAATACATTGAATGAAAATGGAAAAGTGCAATAGAAATGTGTTCCCAAATAGCTAATTTCATAAAATAATCGATAGGTATGAATAGATGTATGTTTATTTTAAACTTTATAGAAAGCCAAGACAGTTTTATTTAGCCTTCCGACTGTTGATTAAACTGGGAAACTGATGTGATTTCAATGGTCAATGGTGTTAGATTTAATGGTGTGATTGGCTTGATTGGTGGAAGAAATATCCTCGTTAAAAAATGTAATATTTGTAACACCGTAATCTCCTCGTTCCTGCGCCTCCGTTGATTCTATTATGGATACAGCTTAAAGAGGCTATTACTTTGTCTTGCTGAATATAATGGTTTTGTGCGAAAATTCACTAAGCAATCTCAAAAAGATACTTTTGGCTCAGTTGGTAAATATTTATTAAGTAGTCTCTACATACGTGTAGTCATTAAAGTAATAAAAGTAGCAAATTGGGATCAAGTGGATTGGCAGGTCCTAGAATAACAATTGGCTTAGTTGCTTGTTCGTTTGTAAAAAACATAAACATGAAAACATAGAATGCACCTAATTTTGAAAGTTTCAAATATTTTTAGAAGTGTTTGCAAAATTTTAAGACTTGTTTTTATGTTTTCCTTGAAACAGCGGCATTTCTCAAATTTGTGATATTTTCTGGTGACAATCGGTTGGTGTTAATTTCAAAATTTAATTCCTTTAAACCATTGATTCAGGTAAACAGTAAAGGCAACTGTGAGATTAAAAATACAACAAACGAGTTTTTTTTTATTAAATTTTGTAGCGTATGGAGATAATTAAATTTCAATATTAAACATTAAATTATCAGCAATAAAAATAAAAAATTTTGTAATATTTACCGTTTTTTCCTTTCATCTTTTATAAATTGAAATCGGAATCTCAAACAACTGTTTTTTGATTGATAAATGCCTCTTTTCGGGATTTGAACAAAAAAAAAAGTTTCTTAGTTTCCTCATTGGAATTTGGCAATTCAAATTAGGAAAAACTCTAGTATAGAGCATGTGGTTTATTTTTATGAAATGGCCAAGGTTGGTAGCAGGAAGACCACAGTTACCAATGATATAAATTTTATCGCGCGCAAATTTATAGTTTAAAAGTTATAAACATTTAAAGTTACACTTTTTATATACAGAGAGCCTGTTTGTATTTTACTTATAAAAACACTAACAACACTAATTTACGCGCGATAAAATTCATATTCTTGGTAATGTTTGACCTTCTACTACCGATCCCGAACATTTAAGAAATAAAAACCACAGGCTTCAAACTAAATTAAAGCCGGGTTAGCTGTGTAGGCATGACAGAAATGCAATAATTTAAGATTCACTAAAACTTCATACAAAAACCTACAGTACGTTTGGATCAAAGAAATAAGGAAAAAAACATTTGTTGAATTAATCAAAAAACACAGGGAAATACAGCACGAGGTAGTATGTATATCTCTTCAAGCGATTTGTAACCTATAACGCGATTTGCAGCCAAGCTCCTACTTCAATTTGTGGTGTGCGTCTAGATTTGAGCTTAGAATTCCACCCTGCCTGTAAGCCAGCCCACAATAAGAACCTTCCACATAATATATTATACTACGCAGCGGTATCTAGGACTGAAAAGTTGCTCTGCTGCTGTACTGGCGTAGACACCCCTTTCGCGTTTATAGCCGAGTTAACAACATTGCGCCAATTGGAAATACCACGTACAGCCAGGTCCTTCTCTACCAGATCTTTCTAACGGAGTGAAAGCATTCTTCTTACGCTGCTTCCACCGGCGGGTAATGCATCGAAAACTTTTAAAGCTGGAGTATTCGCATCCATCCGGATCACATGACCTAGCCAGCGTAGCCGCTGCTTCTAGATTCGCTAAACCATATCAAGGTCGCCGTAAAATTCATGCAGCTCATCGTTCCATCGTCAGTGATATTCGCCGTTGCCAATGCGTAAAGGACCATAAATCTTACGCAAAACCTTTCTCTCCAAAACTTCTAACGCCGACTCATCAGATGTTGTCAGACTCAAATGTAGTATTTATAAATTTATGAGACTATATCCGATTTGCTAGAAGTTATTTATATTTGCTGCAGGGATAAATGTTTTAACGAGTATATTTTCAAATGAAATGTAAAATGTATAGCTATGATGCAGCTCTGATTTGTTCACAGGCAAGTCTGCTTCACGGGAATTGCAATTCCTGATTTTAGAGAAGTTTCGAAAATTTATAAAGTAATCATTTGTTTTGTATTGTTTTTGTGTGCTTTGGTCGTTATTGTATTTAACATACATAATTTCTAATATTTTTTAAGATCAGCTTTTTCCCCTTAAATGCACTGATCACAAGGCCTCACTTCTGATTGGCAGGTGTAATTGATCAGCAGATTATGCTCAATTCCACTCGAATTTTATTTTTCTTACTCGTCAATCCACTTGTACTAAGCAACCGTAATATTGTGGACAGGGATCGAAGAGGCTTTTACAAATCGCATGAGGCATATTTCTTTACATTCAGTTGTTTACTCTTGCAAGAGATTGTAAAATGTCTATTTAGCTTACAGCTCGGATTATTTTCTCTATTATAAAATTGAAGAAACCACATGTTAAAGAGTCACACTGCCTAAAATCCTGTTTGGTACCGAACGGCTTGATAAGGTCCTTCTCGATCATCACGAAACATGTGGTGTTACTTAAAATTAGTTTACGCAGATAAAGTAACATTTTGAGTTGTTGAAGGCATCCTTAAATTGATAAAAAGCTAGTTTAATAACAGCAACGGATTACATGGTTGATGTTGGCTGACTCAACTTTCTTTACAAGCTAGGATCCGTTGGTCCGATCGCTGCCAGAAGAAATCTGATAAGGAGAGGTGGCAATCTTCGAAATAACTGAACTTATAGATATTCTTGCTATAAAAAAAGAATCCTTATAAAAGCAGAAACCAGTTGCGATTTTTTCTTTGGTCATTCACCAATTGCGATCAAGTTATTCAAACAACCAATTAATTAACTGACAAATTGGATTAACTTCGATTAATTAATTTATTCAACAATTTGCTCTCAACAGCGGCCATTGTAGCAAAACCTTAATCAACAGAAAGTCTTCGAAGTAAAATACAATATGAATCTCCAACAGCCTAATTGAGCGTCTTGTAATGTTTCGAGAAAGGCAGAATAATCGTTCTCCATCATCTAAAATAAAAGAGACGCTCTTAAAGAGACTTTTTTCTACCCTTGTCATGGCAATTCAATAAGGAAGGTACTAGTACCAATTGAGGTACTGTACGGACAGGGAACTAGTACTTAGGACCTTTCCGAAGGAGCTTTATATTAGTCCATCTAATTACCAATAAGATCAGCCATATATTTGAGTTGAAAGAGTATTGCTCAGCAATATTTCTTGATGCGGCTCAGGAATGCATTAAAATATGGCTCGTACACAAAATAAACATGATTTTGCAAAAAAATTTCCACCAGATATTCATATCATACCGCACTTATAAGCGGCTTACAGGTGAAGTATTTATCCCAGAAGAGTATGAAATTATGGCTGCTGCTCCCCAATCCACAGTTCGCAAAGGTACTAACCTCAACATTCGCAGATGACAAAGCTTTTTAAGTAGCAACAAACTGCTGTATAAAAATGTAACATTCACTGTTAAGAAGCCAAATATCACGCCATCCTATCCATCCAACATGATGTGATTCCCACAAATTAAGGGACCTACAGTTTATACTAAGCCGCCTCCGAAAGGGCTGATGGGATTTTTATGAGGAGCCTTTATTTCATGTCCGAAATACACTAGGAGGGGTGGACATTCCCTGCCGAGGGCCGACCGCAATTTGAAAATTTAACTTAATTTTTTATTTAAATTCATTTTCCATAACTTTTTTGGCACCGGAATATGAACCCGAGCCTTCCGAATGGCACCACGCAATGCTACCCACTCGGCTGTACTTTGTTTGTGTAGTTTTTTGAAATGGGAAGAAGAACAAGCAATCATGTGATCTGACAACTTTACCTCCTCTAAATTCACCTTGATACTGAGATATGTTCCACAGGCTGTCATAAATATGCTTCGAAAATGATCTCATGAAAATGTTCACATCTCCACGCTTAGATCTTCAATTTTGATTTTTTAATTTGAAATTTTCTTGTAATAAATTTTAATATATTGTATTATTATTTATTGTATTAACAGAACACGCTTACGAAACATTCATAAATACTAAAATTATACTCTATACTCATTTTCAGAAGATCTCTAATGCCAATACGTAAAGAAGGAAAAGTCCATACTTGAAAATAAAATGGATTCAAGCAAGTTTTATTGTATAAATGAATCGCAGCCTAGTACGCTTGCGGGGTGTAATACTTCCAAGGAATACGGAAGGTGTGGAAGTGACAATATATCTAACGGAAACGTTTGTAAAGAGCCTTCAACGCCCAGAAATTCTTCTGGTAAAGCTACTTCCAGCAATAAGGGAGCTAATGGTACATTGAATAATGAAAATGAATCTGGAAATTATATTAATTTTATGCAAATGCCTTTGGATGCTTTGCAATATCATCGACGAAAAGTAAACACACAAGATTACAATCAGTAAGTACAATTAACACATACATCTACTAATACATATACGTGTATGTAAAGGCTAAATCGCAATACTGTAGATTTAAGTTATTTAAGTCTTCCACCACGTTTCCACATCAGACTTCTCTTTCCAGATACCTTTGTTCGAATTGGATCAAAACAAGTAAAAACGACACAGAGGTAGCTTAATGCGATAACCATGGCTCGTGCTGTAGGCATCCCAAGTTCTGATCTAATTCGACTAACGGTGTCTGGAAAAAAGGGGTCTGAGGAGGAAAGGTGGAGTTACTAGGGCAGCGAATTCAACTTTTTTCTTTTAATAAATTCGCTACAGTGTGAAGGTAGTCAAAATGTTTGTTTACATTTTGAGTTTTTTTTTTTTATTTTTATTTTAAATTTCTTATTGTATAACTCAAAATTTTCAAATAAGATTTTTGACTTTTTCCAAATAAAAGAATCTGCTCCGATTTTGATTTGAGTTGAATTGATGAATTGATGCGGCTATTATTCAGTGACCAACGCACTTAGGCCAATATGAGGCTTTTATCTTCACTTTCTCAAATCTTGTAACCGTTTCGTGTACATTATAAAAGCTACGTGGTTACTAGCTTTCGCTGAAGCTAGCTCGGCGTGACAGACAAAAAAATGTGTTCTATAGAATCTTCTTCTGTGGAAGCCTATTTTTCCATGAAGCCTTAGCTGTCTGGTCACTTTTCACGTGATCTCCTTCCGCCATATAGTGTTTGCATTTTTGACAGTTGCCCTGCATCTTGCACATGGTTTATTTTGGATAGAAGGCCTCTTTCTCACACTAGTTCGTCTGCCGTGCAATTGGTTGAAGTGTCCGGGCACCCAAACTATGGCAGTGTTGCGTTTACCCCCGAGTATTTTCTCAGATTGCTTCTACATTTTATGTACATCTTAGATGTACTGTTAGACTGTAGGGATCTGCTGGCTGCTTGACTATTGGAATCTATAGTAACTGACATTCCTGCTATCTCATTATTGAGAGTCCACTTTCTCATCGAGCTTTGAGACGCCTGTAAAGATGGGTGTGGCTTTTTAATCCAGCGCGTTTGTTTTCACCAATTCTCTCCTGTTCGGGGATCTTGTCGAAGTAATTTGTTGGGTTTTGTATGTACATAGAGAGGGAGTTCGACTCAAAGTTTCACAAAATTAAGGATCTATATCTATTTAGATTCGTGCTTGCTAAAGAAATTCAGAAAAGAGGTTTAGTATGCATATATAACTTTTTTTTAAATAAAATTACGTTTGTACTATGGTAAAATTAACATATCCCTCCAATGTTAACATTGAATAAATAATAATAATTATAAATATAATGTACAACTGTCTGCACTGCGTTCCAAGAACTTAAAGGGGTGCCATAATTCTAGTAATCTCTTATGATCATTGCAATTATAGAACTTTCTCTTATGCATATTTCGTGTAATGTAACTGTGTCTTGAAGCCATTGCCAAAGAAATATATTAATATACATTCTTTGCATTGCTTATAAAATTCCCCTCCGAATGCCTGTTCTTCAATAGTTCCCTGACATCCCATAAAATAAAATTACTTTACTGTGGTACTTTGATTTATAAGCTAATCTTTTCTGACTTGTTTTGAGTTATTAATTCAATTTGACAAAAGCGAATAGTATGAATTAGAAATTAATTGCATGAAACCAAAAACAAAATACGCGGTAATTTTTGTTTTTGCTTTCACCTCGCTTTTGGTGTCATGTTATACGAATGACTTGTAAAAATAATTTAAAAAAATATTTATAATTATTAAATTTCAAATGAACGTGCATTACTTATAAAAATTTAATACAGTGGCTCAAAAATGAGCTCGGACACACAAATTATATGACTTCAAACAAAAATATATATAATGAAATGCAAATCGAGGGCTTTCTGTTTATTATATATTTCTATTCTTCAAGTGTATTTTTCAAAACAACCAAAACCATAAACTAAATTCAACTCGGTTGTATAAAAATAATATGACAAAACTGATGACAAAAAAGAACTCGGACATGTACATACATATATAACATAGAACTTAAAAGTCTTATTTAAAGAGAAACAAAATATTCTTAACATTTGGTCGGCAAGCCTTTACTTTTTCTGATAGCATTCAGTCTTCTTGGCTAAGATTCAACTAGCTTCCAGCATGTTAAAGAATTTATTTTCCCCCACTCTTCCAACCACTCTTCATATGCATTTTCAGTTTATTTTCCAAATGAGCCCACAGATGTTCAATTACGTTAATGTCGGAAGATTGAGGAGGTGTTTCAAGCATTTTAGGAGAGTTATACATCAACCATAGACGCACATCGAGTGCTTTATGCTCGTTGTCTTGGTAGTACTGGAAATTGTCTTTTATTCCCAACTTTTCCGCACTTTGCATTAAATTTTCTTTTAAAATGGTCAGATATTGCTTGTGGTCTATATTACCATTTATGAAACACAAATTTCCAGTACCAGCTGCGGACATACAACTCCATACCATTACTGAGCCGCCCCCCCCTGTGTATAACAGTCGAACGCAAATTCTTTCTTTTCTAGCAACTCTTCATTCGGGTTTCTCCGAACATACGACTGTCCATCTGACATAAATATATTAAATTTGCTTTCACCTGCATATAAAACTTGTTTCCAGAGTTGAAAATGCTTATCACCATGACATTTTGCAAATTTTATCCCTTTGTTTCGGTTAAACTCCGTTACTTTCGTACTACTCTTCCATTATAATAATTTTTTCCTGACTATTCAGATACTCTCCAGATTACAATTTATATTGAGATGTTGAAAAACTTCTGTTGAGAGCTGGAGAGCGCTCATGTTTGGTTTTTTTGATTTGCTGCACTATCCACCACTCATTTGCAGTCGAAAACAACTTCGGTCGTCCAGACTTCTTTTTGCTTTCCACTGAGTTTGTTTGTTTGAATCGTTTAATCACGTCATGCACAGTCGAGCGATTTCGCGAATGGTTTTTTCTTATTTCAAAATGACTAATAATTAACTTCCTTACTTTTCACCTTTTTTCCAAAAAAAAACTACTGAAATTTTTTTCTAAGCTATTACGTTTGATTATATACATATGTATTTTTAAACGAAAAAAAACTAATTGTGGGACTCCCCTTTTTGAAATGCCAAGCAACTGTAATATTACCAGATGTCCGACTTCTTTTTTTGGCGAAATTTCTAGCATGCCACATGTTAATTTTTTGAAGTAAGGGTATAGCAGACCTGTAAACTATTTAATTTGTTTGTTATTGGTATTTTTTAAATCCTTATTGGATACCCTATAGAAACATAAATAACAAAAATGCTTAATATCAATTGGTTAAAAAAAGATCTAACTCGAAGTAGCATGTTAATAACAGTGAAATGTATAATATGTCCGAGTTCTTCATTGAGCCACTGTATGTAAAATGATTTTCACTCACTGTTTGAACACTCGTTTATTTATTTTCTTTGTATAATTTCTTTAATATATTTGTACATACAGACACTTCGTTACCTTAACCCAATTTCATGAAGTAAATGGGTTAATACGAAAAGGACCAACATTTATATGCAAAGTACAGTTATGAAAAAAATTCTTGCATTTAGTTTGTAAATTTTGCTAGTTTAGCTGATTTCCACTTCATCAGTGAATGCTGAAGCAATTTTGACGTCCAATGAGTCAGCACTAGTAGTTTTCCAGAATAAGCTTTTGAGGGAGATAGACATAAGTGCAAAGAGAAATAGAGGAAGAGCACAGCTTAGACACCGTTGAAAGAATCAGGTGGAGAGGGATATGGTTACATTCCCCCTAAAAAAAATAAGTTGCGTTAGGTATTTGAAGTTAGTTATTCGTATAAGGTATTCTAAATTAGTTAAAATGAGTGATAAGTATCATAAGTTAATATAAATGCATACCTAACACAAATGCGTCGTAAGGTTTTGCATGCTGCCATACTCTTTAAGCATAAAATACTAAATTTATGAAAGACGTAAGCACTTTGTTATGGCCGAAGAACGCGCTGTTTTTTATTTTTTAATAGCTGACCCGGTCACGCGTTGCTGAGGCTAATATTTTTGTAATATTAAATTGTAGTTAATTATACAATAGGAACGGTAGAAGAACATCAGTCTTGGGGACCACCATACTTTTTTGCATAGATGCCTTTTGTAAAAATCAAAAACCGATTTTCTACTATCGTAACTAACCCGCCCGTTAATACAATGAATTTATTATTTGAAAACGTTTAAAATTTTTGTACAATTGATATTAACCGAAAATCAGTACAAAAAAAAAATAAATTTAAAATTTATTATTATTTTCATTCAAGCTTGTAAAGAATTCTTATTCACGAAAGTAGAGCGACCGGTAAGGTCCGCCGGAAATCACAATACAAAAGTAAGATGGCAGCACCGAAATGTTTATTATTGCCGTTTAAACCTGGCATAGTTATTGTATAGAGCTTTGAGTGAATATTTGTGAGCCATTGTGAACTCATCCCAAATATTTTTGAACTCTTCCGCAATGCTGCAGCTATTCCACTATTATTTTTCATTTATTTATTTATTATGAATGGCAGCTTGAATATTGAATATGTCGTTCGTCCACCATCTAGCAAAGTAGTCGCAATATCCTGACGATGTAACTGCCAATGCGATTTTCTGTAGCGACCGTACTTTGGCAAGAATTGAGGATATTAAAAATTCGAACATAAATCATTTTTTGCTCTGTTGTCAGTAATGAATCACTGTTCACGATTATTGTTCATAAATTATCATGGTCATATTGTTTTTCTCATAGGCATACCATAAGGCTTAAGTGCTAAATTTCAAATTAAAACACAAAAATCCTCGATCAATACTAACGCTTCCTGAAATATGTTTTTATAAAATGTTCGTTGATGTCCAAGGATTGCTATATTCTGAAATGCCAATATATTATACTTGTAATCAATCCTCAAGGAGATGTGCAGTACGATTAGATCGGTAATTAGCTTGGTTTGTAGCATTACGTGTTCTTCTACTTAAATTGCCTCGTCTTATAGGAGGCATTATTAAAATATTGTGTCACATGCAATAACTTTTTTTTCATAGGTAGATAACAAAACACTGCAAGCAAAACCAAAACACATTCAGTAGAATATAACAGAAAATCCAAAAAAAACCAACACCGGCAAAGGCGGCAAATCGACATTGACAGTTTGATTTTTAATTTGTTTTTTTTTTTTTTTTTTTTTAATCTGATATAACTTGAAGTCAAATCCTTTAAAGCCATACCTATTTTTTAATTTTTTTTCGCCTGCCTAAAGTAAAACAAAAGAAATAATATGGCGAAGCCGACCAAGTTGTTATTATTATATTTTGTGACTATTCACATTTTGCGATACATTTTTATATTATAGATTGTTATGCGGCATGATATATTATTATTAATTTTAATATTAATTGTTAATGTGATTTATAGGTCTCGTATGTATTACAATTCACCGGAATATAAATTACAAGATGATATTTATGCTGACAGTGGCAGCGAACGATTGTGTTCTGGATCAAGTTCAACTACATTTCAAATGGAGGGTCAGCATTATGCGAATACCATGGGTAATCACATGCCACAACAACACCAATCATCGAATCATATTCATTCGCATTCAGCTCAAAACTCTTTAGTACAAATGCAGCTACAACATAAACCAACCAACAACTCGAACCCTGCTCTTGACTGTAATGAAGAAACTATTGAATTCTGTCATAGAACTGATAGTAAGGAGCAACAGACGCAGGAGTCCAGTCTACCCCAATTTAATGGAAATCAGAATAACAATATTTGCGAACCTGTCATGTCGTTAACTTCGCCTACAACAATCGATTCTTGTGCAGGATCCTCGACTAGCCCTGGAGCTTCTACACACATGATGTATACAGTCCATCGTGTGGTTACGACAGCACAAATTCAAACTGCCATTGGAAACACGTATGCTTCATCTTCCAGTATTTCAAGCGTCGTAAGTGGTCTAAGAAATGAAGATGAGAATATGGCTTCTCCTGTGAATGCAAATATTACCCCGTTAAATGAAAATAGCGGTTTGAATGACATTAATGCTGCCATAATATTAAATAATGGAATGAACAAGAATGAGGAAAATTCGGGTAACGCCAATGGTGGTGTTAAAAATGGATCAAGAGTTGCTGATTCAAGGCACACGCAAGGTATAATACAAAATAATGCAAAATATTATATATGTACATAAATTCCTAAACAAAATCTAAAGTCCTTTGGCTTCGACCACTGTGTTATAAACAAATTTATCGTAAAACTTTTTACTTAATTTAGACCATGTTCGTTAATTATTACCAACCCATTTAACTGTAACAAAATTTTTCCAAGTGTACACAGCTGACAACTTCACTTCACTGATCAAGTTTTAAAAATGTTAAAAATAATACGTGCATAATACATGGGCTGTATTCGAGCCTGCGGTGCTATACTCACTTCCTACTCTTCTCTCCCGTATACTGGAAACGTGAGCAACCCTTGGAAAAGATCTGTGGAGCCTTGGGTCACAGCTAAATTATACGAGGCTTCATTTAAGGGTTCGCTGAAGTCTTATTGATGCGGTTGAGGTGCGGCTGCGAGCGGACGTCGGTCTTGTTTTTATTTACACCAAAGAAATTTATTTATTGGAGCAGCTTAACTTAATGCTTAACTAATTAATTCATAATAAGTGTTCAGCGCTCACTTCATAGACAGTGAAATCATTCAATTTAATATCCCAGCGAGCGCAACGCATATTTTACAGTTGCTTCCTCCAACTTCCAGCTATCCAGCTAAACTGAGAGCACAAGCACCTCTTTTTCAAAAAAAAACCATAAGGCACCGCAATGCATAGAGTGAGAACAACAGAAGCAACTCCAACAAAAAAGAATAAAGAATCCCATACAGTAGAGAAAATGCAAATCAAGAAAGGTTCGCCACCCTTAACCGAATATTACTTAAGAATCCATGCACGCGAGCTGAGCTATTCATTTTAGGAGTGAAAAGTCTAACGCACATAATAGGAGCCAACAGCTTTCACACTGTTGCCTTGAAGCGGGGTAATATAGACGAGACCAAAATACATTATGACATTAAGAAAAGCTTTCGCCAAGATGTCAGATAACAATTAAAATTATTATTCTTATCAGTTGAAAAGCTTAAAGGACGAAGAAGCTACCGTAAGCTCGGAAGAAGTAGAATAAGCTATAGAAGATCCGTAATAAATATTATCAATAAAAATAAATTAAAGCAACCGATGCCTATTCCACCGAACCCAGTACAATTGACGAAATATGAAGCACACCTCATTTATAAATGGAAATATAAAAATAAGAAAAAGTAGTGCTGAGCATGAATTTCATGAATTTCCCTGAGCACGAAATTGTCTTCTGGTCAATTGTTGTTGTCTCATTGTAAGTTTCGTAATTTAAAAAATTTCACTTTTACGAATTTTCAAATTTTCCGAGTTTTCCTCAGAAAAAGTATAAGGTTTTTTCTTAATTCTAAACCTTCCCAGGTCCATAACGTACAACCTCTGAAAATTTCATCAAGAATTGGAGTATTTTGATCAGAAGATCTCTGCCGTTTTCAGACGATATGACCGAGGTAAATGTTTACATTATTCGTCGAAACTCAAGGTCTTCTTAGCCCGGGAAACGTAGACATAATTCCTCTCCAATCACCCACCTAGTGGGTTTCCCTATATCAAAACAATTTAAGCAAAGATAAATTTCACTAATGAACTACTTGATCAACATATAAAATTTTGAAAGAGGTTGCTATACTCTATTTGAAATCTCACCGTTTTGAAACCCATATTATAATATTTAATTTATCAATATTTTAAATTAAAACTTTTACACAGTGGATAACCGTTTCCAAAACCTTCTTAATTATCTTCAGCTTGTTACCTACATATATCGTTTGTTTGATATGAAAAACTTAACAGAAGTGGCAACTCTACTGAACTATAACCTTAACTATTGTCCATTCCTATTCAGCACCCTCAACATTTAATATAAATCGATTGAGACGTTTAGCCACAAATACACATAGAGACTTGAGTTACCACGTCCCCATTTCTGAATTCTGGAAATTATCAGGTGTACAACTTTGCTTCCGCCGTTTTCCGATAGGTGGCTGTACCGGCTGAGGCTGGTTGAAATACATAGATGATAATGCCTTTAAAGTGAGTGTGGACGGTGCCTAACGAATCGTCATCGCCGTTTCAGTGACAGTTGTTCTTGTTTTCGTATTATTCACGCTCGAAAATGCCCGTTTATGTGCCTAATTCTCGCCATTTGCGGGAAGTTTTACTTTTCTGTTACAATTCGACAAAAATTGCAGCTGAAGCGCATCGAATGCTCTCAGAAACTTACGGTGATGCTGCTCTGAGTGAAAGAACGAGTCGGAAATGGTTTCAACGTTTTAAAAATGGTGATTTCGATGTCGAAGACAAACATGGTGGTGCAAGAGAAAAAAACCTTCAAAGATTTACTACGAGCTCTTAAAACCTGGTGCAACCATCACAGGAGATCGCTACCGAACGCAACTGATGCGCTTTATTCGCGCGCTAAAAGAAAAGCGGCCACAATATCAAGAGCGACATGACAAAGTCATCCTCCAACACGACAATGCCAAAAGTGGTCAAAAAGTACCTGGAAACGCTGAAAGGGGAAGTATTGTCCCACCCGCCGTATTCCCCAGATGTCGCCCCTTCTGGCTTCCACCTATTCCGTTCGATGGCACACGGCCTGGAAGGTCAACATTTTCAATCCCTCGAGGAATTGGAAAAATGGATTGCTTCGTGGATAGCGTCAAAAGAGGACTCGTTTTTTCGAGCCGTGATCCGAAAATTGCCGGAAAGATGGGAGAAAGTTGTCGCTAGCGAGGGACAATACTTTGAATAATATATATTATTGTATATATAAGCGCAAAGGTGTACACCTAATACAAACCATCTTAAGCTAATAAATTTGGTTGAGTTCGACAAAGTCGTTCTCAAGATATAAGCTAACACACTCACTTTTATGTCCCCTTTTCCAAATTCGGAAGAACTGCACACAAACCGTCTGCTTGATATCCCAAGCAAGTTGTATAAATCAAATCGAAATCGGTGTAGCGTTCCCAAGTTATATGGGAACAAATCAATCGTTAACCAATTTTTGTATACTTGGTTCGTATGGGGGGATCTGCATTGCAACCCGAATGTTCTACGTAATTTGGTTTAAATTCTACGAATTCGTAACACCGAAACCATGCAATTATTTTTATATTATTTTTTATATGTGGGAGTGACAGTGATATGCTTAATCTTTAAATTGGGTAATTTTGGATTTAACCTCTCTTTTTAGCTTCAGGTGCTGCAACGAATTTCAATCCTTCTTCACACGCCGGACAGAAATACAACTACATGGATAACAACAATTCCGGGTCTCAAAGTGCTGCAAGTAATAACTCAAATAATATGAATGTAAATGGATCAAAACCGTCAACGCTAACATCAAGACCATTGCAAAATGTAAGTAACCATTATACAATAGTATCTAAAATTAATGCCAAAGTATTGTGGATAGATTGTAGGCTCTGTAGGCTCTAGGTTCAAACTAAGTCTAGATAATAAAGTTTTACTTTTTAATATGCTTATATAGCCATCTTGGACGAACGGTATCCAAATTTGGGGCTCAGCGTCTAAAGCATCTATAGCCTAGATATTATTCAAAGACTGCAGTCTAAAACGTTAAGACCAATACGCAAAGTCCCTTGGTATATAAAAAACACCACAATTCACAACGATCTCGGGATTAAAACCATCACCGAGGAAATAGCGAAACTGCTCAAAAATTACTCATTAAGGTTATCCAACCACCCAAAATTTCTAGCTAAAAAATTATTACAGCAGAACTACCTTAAGCAATTGAAGAGAAAGGATTTACGTTTGAACTGTGACTAAGGGTTCTGCTGCATCCAATTGTTCTACATCGGAGTTGTGCTCCGCATATATTCTTCATGATATTATAATTTACTACAAATTATCCTTTATGATATATCTTTTCTGTTAAATCTTCAACATGAGCGTTTGGTATCTCTAATGATATCTATATAAACACATTCTTTGATAAATCTAAGTTTATTCGTAATTATTGTACTTTGCTTACTTTGTTAATCTATACATTGGATTGACCTCTTGCGCATGTTCACCATCCTGTTATCAGGAAGCTGAAGAGCTGAAATCCTCACAGACCAAAATCTTGACACATGGAGTTTGCTATCTCGAGGCCTATCTTGAAAGCTCTTTTGGCATCGTTCAAAGTACCAATGGAAAGACTTGATGAATTGCAAGTCTTAATGGCATATGCGATAATTTTATTGCTAATGGATTTAAAATTTGAAGAAATAAAGCGAAAAATAAATAAAAGTAGAAATAAAGCAAAACGGCAAACAAAATGCCAAAGACATTGTTTATACACATTACTACAATGCGTGGATTCAACGATCGATAAGTAAAAAAAGGCTTGGTGCAGAAAATGAGCACAGAAAATTATCCTTTAGTCGCTACCGAAAAATTCTTTTCAAAAGAAACACTTTTTTCGAAAGACTTTAGCTGACTTAGCCAGCAAAGATCGGTTAACGTGAACTGAATGTAGTAAACAGTTTACTTTTCTCACAGCAGGTGGTTAAATATAATATTTGTACAATTTATTGATCATTAAAATTCAAATATATACGTGTATATTATAGCTACTCAAGCCAGCAGCCAAGCTTCATTTAGATGACATACACGGTGTGTCCCAAAAACAACCGAACTCTTTGGATATAAAATAAAATGCACAATATATTATTTTGAAAGTTATTATTTATTAAAAATAGGTTCCATTTGACTCATAAAATGCTCTCTTCATCTTGGTTTTCAGTTTTGGAAATAAAAAATAGTCACATGATGATAGATCAGACGAATAGGGAGGATGGTCGATGAGAGAAATACCCTTTTTCATTAAAAATTCCAGCGATTTTTTGGTCGTCATTTAATTCATTTGGAACAAATCGCGCACAGACCTTTTGCTTTTCCCCAAATCTTCAGTTAAAATTCTTCAAATAGTGTTTTTACTCGTATTCAATTCCTCAGCCAACATTCTCGTAGTAAAATTTGCATCGATAAGCTCGATTACTAGTTTCTGGACGTCCTGCTCTAGGGTCGTCATTTAAATCCTCACGACCATTTTTAAATCGTGTAAGCCACGTACAAACTTGCGTACGACTCATACAATCATCACAATAAAATTTTTTCATTAATTTTTTTTCGAGTTTGACACAAAATTTTATATTTGCTCTTTGTTCCATTTTATTTTTGAACCATTAGCACACTTTTGGTTTTATTGAAATGGCTGTCACTTTTACATCTGTCATCCGACTTACATGATGTTAGGTGGGTTTGAAAGAGGACGAATGTATCTTTTTAATGTTGCAAATTTTCAATAGATGGCGCTGTATGTTATATGATTTAAATATAAAGTTCGGTTATTTTTGGGACACACCGTGTGCACTTAAACATAATATCTAAGGCTTTCAGAAATAGAATAATAATAAACGGATGTTATGCGGAGAGAAATTAAATTATAAAAACAATTCAATGGATTTAAAATTATTAAATAATTATATTATAACGAAAATATTTTAAATTAAATTTCTTTTTTAGGTAATACCAACATGTGTCTATTTGATGTCCCGTATTGCTGTTCATATGGAAATTGAGGGGACCGCTCAATGTCCTACACAAGTTATGCTGGCTGCTGCGCTGGGGTGTGAAGAGTTGGGTATTGCAAATAAATTGTTAGCCCAAAGTATTTTCGCATTATGGATGACCAGTGAACTCTTGGATATTCAATTGAAATCACATCATCGCCCTTATGCCGTAAGGTTAGCATGGCAAGCTCTACTAGATAGATTAAGTACAGGGAATTCAATTGATAAGAAATTCGATGAGCCAATGATAATGCTTAAGCGAAATGTATTTTTTTCCAAACGCGATGAAGAGAAAATTAAGTATGTTCTCTGATTAAACATTTTTGAATAAAATATTTAAATTATTTATTTTGATTTTAGGGATCATCGAATCGTGGAGTTGTTATATGAAGAAGCCAAATACAACGTACTATCTGGTCGATACGTTATGGAACCCGTTCATGCTTTAATGCTTGGAGGCATACAAGCTAGAATCGAATTGGGGCCTTACAATCCACATGCGCACACTGTGGGTTTTCTGAGGTAAATATAATTTAATAATGCGATTCGCTTAATGAAATAAAACTGGCAAACATTTTAATTATACTTACCCTCGTTATCACAATATCCTTTGGTAAACGAATGGGCTAAGGAAAATTAAATAAAAGTTATCCTGAAAAACAAGGAAGCTAATAATCATGTTCTAAAACTCGACTCGTCTACACAATAATAGCCGAGACGCCAATTGGAAATACCAAGTGTAGTCTTTCGTCACCTTATCTTTCTAACTGGGTGAAGGTCTTCCTCTGCTTCCATCGGCAGGTACTGCATGGAAAACTGTTAAAGTCGGTCGACATGACCTTGCCAGTATAGACGCTGTCTCTTGGTTCGCTGAATATGTCAATGTCGCCGTATATTATGTTCCATCGTCTGCGGTATTCTCCGTTGCTTATGGGCAAACGATTATAATTCTTTCGCAAAGCCATTTTCTAGAAAACTTCTAACGCCGATTCGTCTTCGTTCATTATCTGATTCAGCCTATCCAACTGGATATCTGGTAAATGTGGAATTTACCAGGTCTAAAGTCACAATTAGAACGTCCAATAATAAATTTACTCGATAAGACCTTATTTGCGATATTACGGAGGCATATCCCACGGTAATTGCCTTTTCGCCTTTTTCGTGAATTGGGATAGCAAACATAGGTTCCAATCGCCTGGCATGTTTTCATCCGAATATATTATATATTATTCAAAGAAGCAGAGTCTTGTCAGTTCCTCGCTGCCGTATTAAAATACCTCTGCCGGCAATCCATCGTTTCCTCCATAAATTCAGTAACAGCGTTTCCTCCATAAATTCAGTAACAGCCGTTAGATCATCTCTTAAAACTTTTGTAATTCGCCGCATTTTCACATGAAGTACAACAAAAATATAGTAGCATTAGTTATTTTAATAGGAAGATGGGTGATTGATTGTCACCATTGAGTTTATTGGAAGATGAGCTCGGCCGGAAATCCAGTGGTTACAAAGCGCCAATTATATAGTAATACTTTGTTAATATTTGTGGACGGTACTATTCAAAACTGTTACCTAATGATAACATCTATGAAAACAGTATTCAAGTCTCTCTGGAAGTATTTAGAATATATTACTTAAATCAAATTTTTTTTAATAATAATTTCAGGGAAAATCAATTAAGATTTTTACCGCAACATGTGGCAAAAAGTACAAGTTGGTCTTGGTTACCAGTCAGCCGTAAAAATTCAGCCGAAGTCAAGTTGTTAGAACAATTCAAACGTGTTCCTCAAACTGCGACTACAAAAAAGCTTATGCGAAAGTATTTGGAATTTTGTTGGGCACTTCCGTTTTATGGGTAAGCACTTCGTGTTATTTCAAATATCTATAAAATATTAATAATTTCTTGTAGAGCTGCATTTTTTCAAGGTCAAGTGGAACAACCGATTCGTGGGCTAATGAGTTTGGTTAGTCATAAGGATGTAGAGGTCAATATAGCAGTCAATGAACGCGGTATTTTCATTATAGATCCCATAGAATGTGTAAGTACATATATGTACATATTTCTTGTATTATTTCATTATTGTATTGGATATTATTATTTTTAACTGAAATAAGGTAGCAGAAGAAGAAATGAAATAAAGAAATGTTTTTGTGTAGAAACATGTTGAAAATAAGCTCCTAGGGAAAATAATAATATAAATTAGTTAAATCCATAAGTCGTAAGTTCTAAAATATTAAACTTCTAGCGCGAATTTTCTTGTTTCCTTTCATTTCGACAAATTATAAAAACAAAATTCCAAGGCGAATTTATAGAAAGTGAAGTTGTCACACCATATGATTGCTTGTTCTTACTTCCATTTGAACAAATAACACAAAAATTGTTCAAATTGAAAATTTTCGTTTTTGACTTTTCGAAACTACGATTACACAAACAAAATACATAGGTTTTTTATTTTTCAATTCATGCTACTACCGTGTGTGAATTTGCCTTGCAAAATAGATGAAAAATAGGTTTTGACATTTCGAACGTACGGTTCAAGGCGAATTTATCAGGGTGGAGTGACTAGAGCTGCGAATTCAACTTTCTTCATTTAATTAATTCGCCTCATTGTAAAGGCTGTCAAAATGTTTGTTTATGTTTTGTATTTTTGTTTATATTTTGCTTTTTATTTGTTCACATTTAATGTTAATTTCTAATTGAAAAAAAAAATAAAATTTTCAAATTATATTTTTTTTTGCTCTTTTTTCAATAAAAAAATTTTAATCAACGTACTTAGGCCAATAGGCCGGTTTTGATACCGCTATGAGGCTTTTATCTCCACCTTCACCGTGTACATATTAAAAGCAACGGGATTAGCAATTCTCGCTCAAGCTAGCTTAGCGAGCCAGTGAAAGAAGTCTTAGTGTTCAATGGAATCTTCTTATGCGGTCACAATCATTGAAGTAATAGCCTGTTTTCCCGTGAAGCCCCATTGAACCGTTATCTGTTATTACACGCGTAATTATGCTAAAGGATAACTGATTTAGAGGGATAATAAGTTTCGATTTTTTCGCGTCCGATTTTGGTAATAGCTGTCTCGTCACGTTGCACGGGATCTCATTCAACCATCTAATGTTTGCATTTTTGGCAAAGGTCAAACAAAGCACACACTTTGCCGTGGCAATGGTAAACCTTCATCCCTTATAAGTTCGTCTGACTGCGGTACTGTTACTCTGTAGAGATGTGATGGCTATTTAACTATCGGAATATATCGTAACTGATAGTCCTGCTACCGTAGATTTGAGCAGCCTTGAAAGAAATAAATTAAAAAGAAAAAAATGTGTTTCTTTCTTTATTTCTTATTTTCAACTCACTATAATTCGTTTTTTTAGAAACATTTATTTAAAAACTAACTTAGATGAAAATGTAATTTACAAACTAGGGTGGTAAAAAATAAAGTAGAAAGTGAATTTGGGGATGAAATTAATACATGTTCGAATATGTGTGGGAGAGCCTTCGAACAAAGAAGGATTTACGTAACTCTTGGCGGCTTCCACAATTGCAAACAGTTCTGCGAGGAAGACGCTGCAGTGGCTCATGTTTATTGAGGGACCGCTTTTTCAAGGCGCTGTTAGCCGTCTGTAAAGTTGGCTTCTTGATCAAGGGCGTTTGTTTTTTCCCATTAGTTCCTGTTTGGAAATATTGCTTGAAGAGATTGTTGAAGCAATCCGTTGTGTTTTGTATGTACATATGTAGAACTGGGAGATCTATAATTTTTCCGAGCTACCCAAGATGAAGGATCTACATATTTCTGGATTCGTGTTAGCTAAAGAAACTTAAAAAGGGGCTTGGTATGCTTAGATTATTTTTTGAAAAAAAAAAAAAAAAATAATAATAATAGGCTTTTTGTTTAAGTATTCTTGCTAATACCATATACTATACTTTCAAACTGGTTTGAAGTACTCAATTCAACTAATCTACATAGGTGTATTCTGCAAGATAGCCTTGCTTCTTTGAAAGTGTGTGCCAAGATATTTTACATAGTTGGCTTGAGGAACATTTATACCGTAAGGTAAAAGTGACGTCTTTACACTTTTTCTCATTGACTTTACTTCCTAATCTTGCCAGCCATTCTTCGCTGAAAAGTGAGGGGTCCCCAATGGACTTCGATGCTTTTCTATGACCATTATCACTAGATAATATGGCAGGGACATCCGCGAATGTGAATGTTCCCACTTTTCAGTTTATTGGGATGTCTGCAGCTCTTGTTATAAAAGAACACTACCTTGAGGAATACTAGCTTTAGCTGGAAATTCGAAATATTTTACGACAAACGGCCTGTTAGATATATGTACATATATGATTGGAATATGTTGTACAATTGGTCAGGCAAAGTTTTACAAATTTTGTGTAATAAACCTTTATGCCAAGCCTTGTCGAGCGCTGGTGGCACAGCAATACTCCTTGAACTCGAATGCCTTACTAATTTCTTTAATAAGTCGGTTCATGTTTTTCCGATTTGGTGTTCTGCTATCTATTTGTTATGATGGAAAGGAGATATCTTAGATATCAGGAAGCATTCAGATGGTTAAAGTTATGTAATTGGGATATTTACACCGAATTCGTTAATTTATTAATCGTTATATCATAATTTTGTACGTGTGCTTAGTGTTTGTATTATTAATAGATTATCGTCTTGTGGAGTACCAGCAGGGTAAACTGGCATATGCATTATAATAATGGATAAAAACTGCGTTACTATTTTATTTATCTTTTTTCATTATCTAGATATTTTCATATTTTTCAATTATTATTTCTTAAATTTTTTTCTATAATTTTAAAAATGGTCAGCATTACTGCCATTAAGACCTGGTCATCATCAGGCCTTTCTAAATGTATTTCGAGAGCTTCAAAAGAGCTCTCAGTGCAACTGTATTTTCAAAGTTTTTTGTACTTCGAACGAGCGTGCGGAGTATAAGGAGAGTTCAAAAAATTGCCATGTTACATGACGTTCGTATAGCAAATATCGCATGCATAACATTCACAAGCAAATCCCAAACCAATTATTTTGTTGTGGACCATCATTGACGGAACTCACCAAAGATTTCCAAGCATCAATGGTAATTTTGCAATTAGATATATATAAAATTGGCGCTTTGTAACCGCTGAAGCGATTTTTCGGCCAAGCTCCTCCTCTAATTTGTGATTTTGCGTCTTGAAATTTTCCCAACAAATGGAGGGACCTACAATTTATACTAAGCAGCCTCCGGCGGCTGTTGACTTTTTACGAGGAGCCTTTATTTCATATTTATTTTCCGAAATACACACGGAAGGTGTGGACATTCCTAACAGCAATTCGAAAATTTAACTAATTTTTTTATTTAAATTAATTTTCCATAAGTTTTGGATGTTGGTCTACCATGATTTTAACTCTGGCCTTCCGAATGTCAATACGCAATGCTAACAAACTCGTCTACCGTTAAAATCCTTGTAACTGCTTCAATTTGAACTTACGGTCTTATCCCTTCTGTTCTCACGCTGTCCCTTTTTTTAATTACCTGTATTGAAATATTGATATTAAAAGTTTACTATTAAAATTTTTTCTTAAATTTACATTATATTTAGTTTTTCTTCACAACTTTAAAATAATAATTGAATCGAGTTTATAATGACGAAGGACTGACTTGAAACATAAATGACAATCGGTTCGAGTTGAACTTTGTCTCCAGAATAACATGAAAGATCTCAAATCAAAAGTTCGAGCTTATGTTTTAAGTAATTTCGAAACAATTTTAAATTCAATACTTTAAGCTAGCATAAAAATTAAATTAGATGTGAATAGTTCATCGGAAATGTTAATCTAATGTTAATCTTAATTTTGGAGAAAAAGAAAATCTACACAAACTAACACATACTTTTTTTCATTCACAGACTTTACTACTCGGATTAAGATACGAGGATTTATCATGGGACTATGCTAGGCCTAGCGTGAGCAACGACCCTGAATGTCAGACTTGTATATTTATTCAAGTAAGCATTATTAATCATTCAATTTGTATTTTTACAAGATCATGCACATATATATACAGATATATATGAATATTTATTTAAATATATGATAAGAGTGTAGCTCCGATATGAATTACAATGAAACATATAGATTAAAACCGTCACTTTGTTAGAAGAACTTCAATATACATTGACTCCAAGCTCGGCTAGGTTGGGAGAACTGTTTAGCCAACATGTGTGACTTGTAGCAAGTTACTGTTTCAGGTTTTTTGTTGGTTTTTTCCGGGCTGAGTATGGTACGACTGTTGTTTCTTCGCTTCCATTCAAACACCTCTTCCAGTATTACCGCAGCACAAACAGCAGTCTGCAGACTAATAAAGTCAATAAGTTCAATAAGGAGATTCATTGCGCTCCACCAAATTTTGAGGAGGTTGACTTTTTCTCGAGTGTTTGCTATCAGGCTACTGATATGCTCCATTCTCCGTCCGATTGCGCCTGTGCAAGTGTAGAGCACAATAGATGTCTCACGTATCCTGTTAGTTCTGTAACTTACTTACTTACTTACTTTACTGGCTTAGCCACGGCTTACGCGATTATAGCCGATTTAAGAACATTGCGCCATTCGTTTCTTCTTTTTACTGTTTGGCGCCAATTGGAAATACCAAGTACAGCCAGGTTTTCTCTTCCTGGTCATTCCAATGGTGTGGAGGTCTTCCCCTTCCTCCGCGTCCACCGGCGCGTACCAATTCGAAAACTTTCAACTTTCGGTATCTATCCCATCCCTCACGTGTTGTGGTCGATCGCAAGGTTGCGAGGTAGGCAGTCTGTTTTCTCTCCACTGCGACACGGCATTCTTCATCGTACCAGCTGTTTTTGCGACCTTTACGGAATTTAATAGTTTCGTTTGTAGCTGTACGTAGAGGGCTTGAAATGCCGTCCCACAGGTCCCATATACCGAGTTGGTGGTGAGTGCTCTCAGAAAGCAGGAGTACAAGTCTAATAGAAAATCATTCGGCAGTCTGTTGTGATTGCAGCTTTTCAACGTCGAACTTTCCTTGTGTTTGTTGACGGACGTTCTTCGATACACAGAGGCGCATGTGTATTTTCGCTGCATTAAGATAATGGTCCGAGTCGATGTTGAGTCCTCGGAGTATACGCATGTCAAGAACACTGGAGACAAGTCTTCCATCTATCACAACATGATCGATCTTGTCTTGTGTTTTTCGATCAATTGACAGCCAAGTAACTTGATGTATTTTTTTTTTGTACTGGCATCTAGTACTACAGACAACCATATTACGGGCCCAGCGAAGTCTGCACCCCTTAGGGGTTGTTTCGTTGTTAAGACTGAATTTTCCAACAGTAGTACCAAAGATACTTTCTGTGCCCAGCCTGGCATTAAAATCGCCAAGCACGATTTTCACATCGTGTTGGGAGCAGCGCTCGTAAGTATGTTCTAGGCCCTCATAAAAGGCATCTGTGGCCAAATCGTCCATCTCTTCCTTCGGGCGTGGGAAAAATTTCGCTTTGATGCGGATTGTGGCGAGGCGCTCATCCACCAGGATGTATGCCAGTACTCGCCGACGGAGTCTCTCTCACTTATAAAAATAATAATAATTTATATACATACATATATGTATAACAAATGTACTTATGTATGTATGTTTGTGCATACTTTTCTAATGTTAACTATTTGCTTTACAGTTTGACGCTATGGAAAATGGAATACAGGTTTCAAAATTGATGCAGATTTTTTCCAAACAAGCCGGTATGATCGATGCGCTTATAGCTCATTTTGCTGAAAACATTATGAAACAGAAAATGAACGGAAATATAGAGGATCAATATCACGAAGGTACATTTTGGAATTTTATTCAGCTGCACTAACTTTTGTTATTAATTTGATATTTTTGAATGGCAAAGCCAAATCCAAATAATAATTTTCTTTTTGTACTGCCATTATTGTTAACATTGTTTGGTTTTGTGTTGAAGCAAAGAATATATCACCGACGTCATAATAGTAAATAATTAAAATAAATTAAATATTAAGATGACAATATTCATGGTATACTATTGAGGGCAAAACACAATGATGACTAGATACGAAACTCTTTATTCCGTGAGAGCGCTCAAAAATCCGCATTTTTTATAACATTCTGAACAGTGCCACTGTGATAGAAAAACGACTTCTTTGGATTTTTAGGTATATTTTGAGTATTTTATTACAAACAACGACGTCTTAAATTGCAATTTCACTAAAATATTTCATTGAGAAATAATTTAATATTTTATTATATTAAGTTTTAATAATAAAATTACAATAATTTCTTTATTATTTATTGTTGAAGCGAATTTCATTTGAAACAAAAACAATGGCTTTTTTTATTGGCATAGTGGCACTGGTGCGTTTTGTCCATCAGATGTTGAATGTTCCCCGATCTGACACTGCTGCAAATTTAGAATGTGAAATGGGCGAACGCTCTCAGCTGCAATTTGAGTGATTTTGAGTAAGTCTCGTATCTAGTCATCTTTGGCAAAAAGTAAGGTGAATTTGTAATTTGATCTTCTCGCGTTTAATATCTCGAGTTCATTTCTTTTTGCTTATGTTGGTAGCACTGTTATGGACATCAATGCCAAATTTCATGTCAATGTCATCATTGGTATTTTAGTTACGCTTGTGTTTACTAAACGACTAAAAATGCCTTCGGTGATTTTTATAATGCGTGATTTAATTGAGCAAAGAAATGCGATCAAATTTTGTTTGCGGAACGTTGAGGATGTTACATAAAGCCTTTGAGGAGTCAGCTACGTCGTAGAAGAACGTGTATAAGTGGTAAAAACACTTCAAAGAGGGTCGGAAACGTATTGATGACTTGGAGCGCCCGGGACAACCATCAATGTCAACTGATTTGCATAACGTCAATGAAATTAAGGAATTAATTGACTGTAAGAGACCTTACTGATGTGGTTGGAATATTAGAAGGATCTGCAAAAACAATTTTGCATAAAGCAATTCGCAAAAAAAAGACCAGAATTATAGACCAACGATTCTTGGTTTTCGCATCACGATAATGCAGCGTCGCATACAGCACTCATTCTTCGTGACCATTTCGCTAAAAAATTCCACGAATATCGTTCCCCAACCACTGTATACCCGGGCTTAGCAACATGTGACTTTTGGCACTTCCAAAAACTCAAGAGACCTCTTCGAGGACACCGTTTTGAGCCGATTGAGGAGAATCGGCGCGCTCTCTGAAGGTCATACAACAACGTGACTATTTTAGCTACTTCGATAATTGGAAAAAGCGTTGGCTTAAGTGCATTGCAATGGCAGGGCTCTATTTTGAAGGCGACGAAATCGATGTAGAAGAATAAATAAAGATTTTTGATTTTAAAAACAAATTAACCTTACTTTTTGCCCACAGTAGTATAAGTATTAATTGATACACTACTGCTTTGTGTCATTCAGTTTCCTCATTCTGCATAGTTCTTAGATATGTTCCACTAAAAACATAACATACACGGTGTGTCCCATAAATAACCGAACTTTATATTTAAATCATACAACATACAGCGCCATCTATTGAAAATTTGCCCTCTTTCAAACGCACCTAACATCATGTAAGTCGGATGACAGATGTAAAAGTGACAGCCATTTCAATAAAACCAAAAGTGTGCTAATGGTTCAAAAATAAAATGGAACAAAGAGCAAATATAAAATTTTGTGTCAAACTTAAAAAAAAAATTAATGAAAAAAGTTTATTGTGATGATTGTATGAGTCGTACGCAAGTTTATACGTGGTTTACACGATTTAAAAAAGGTCGTGAGGATTTAAATGACGACCCTAGAGCAGGACGTCCAGAAACTAGTAATCGTGCTTAACTGGTGGAAAAAGTTCGTGAAGTCATTGGTATCGATGCAAATTTTACTACGAGAATGTTGGCCGAGGAATTGAATACGAGTAAAAACACTGTTTGGAGAATCTCAACTGAAGATTTGGGGAGAAGAAAGGTCTGTGAACGATTTGTTCGACATAAATTAAATGACGACCAAAGAATCGCTCGAATTTTAATGAAAAAGGGATTTCTCTCATCGACCATCCTCCGCATTCGCCTGATCTATCACCATGTGACTATTTGTTATATCCAAAACTGAAAACCAAGATGAAGGGAGCATTTTATGATGATATCCCAGCCATTCGAGCAGCCGTAACCGACATAAAAAAATCTATGCCTGCGCTGGTTGATCGTTCCAAACGTTGTGCTGAGTCAAATGAACCTATTTTTAATAAATAATAACTTTCAAAGATAATATAATGTGTATTTTATTTTTTATCCAAAAAGTTCGGTTATTTTTAGGACACACCGTGTATGTTGTATATATTAAATTTTTTTTAAATAAGGTTCATAAATATCATGTATGTAGTATGAGAGGAGAGATATAGGCGATGAGAGCAGAGCTGGGTAAATTTTTTTAAACAAAAATTTTGTTAAATTAAATAATATATACAGTTAATTTTATAGAGGTATCAGAGATGAGCAATGAGTACTGTGGCATTGGCAGAGTTGAATCATCTATTCTCTTATGATTTGTACCATGATGCACATTATTTGTTAAATTATTATCATGTTTTCTTCTATTATCATTATATATTTTTTTAAATATTCAAAAGCTCTTATTAAATATTTAGTTTTTTTTTAACCAATTGGTTAAAATGGTATCTTATATTTTCTTACAGAGCCGTATCCCATTCAAAACAGCGGAAACGGAGTGTTGTGTAACAAATTTTACCGATTGACGTTAGCGACATTTGATGAAGAAGATCGCTGCATTGGGCAAACTGGTTCTTTATCCATTAGTTATTAATTAAAAATAATTTTTAGATAAATTTAAAATATAATATCTAGTTGTAAAAAGAAAATAATTATTTAAAAAAACAAAAAGAACCTTGCATTTGCCTGATATGTGCAAGTGAGTAACCTAATACCCTGCAAGACCAGCAGGTTAGCATATTAAATATGTGAGCATAGGTTACGTAGCTTTAGTAAAGCAATAAGTGTAAGTTCAGTTTTAAGCTCAATCTCAAAGCTGATAGAATAAACGCTATAAATAAATTGTATAAGTAAATAAAAAAACAAAACGTATAATCAAACTTTATAAATAATATGATTGGGCACCCAGCGTACGGGTTAAAATTTTAAATTCGACGAAATTCTGGAATCAAATAAGAAATTTACAAAAAAAAAAAAAAAAAAAATGTACATAAAGCAAACACGTTAAATTCGTTGAAAGAATCAATAAATCAGGGGATCCAAAGGATATTTTCTCTAATAATATCTCGACATGTTAATAAATCAAATTCGTTGTCGCTGATAAAGGATAATTTCTACAAATAAATGTTTAGCTTAAAAATGAAAAGATGTGTGAAGTGCTTGTCTTGAATTGAAAGTTAAAATAAAATGATTTTTTTTTCAAACTAGTAGATAGTATTAGAAATATTGTTCTAAGAACTTAAGTTAGAAGATCAAACAAAAAAAATGCAAACCAAGCAAGCGAGTTGGTTCAGTATTGAATTGAATTGTAATAGAAACATTTGCAAAAAACCCACCCACAACTTTGTGGTCATCCGGACATCTGCGTGTCTTTTCTTGAGGATGCGCACAATTCGTGCGAAATTCGAAACGATATGCAACTACCAAACCGTAATTATCAGGAATGTTACAGAAACAGATTGTTGTCGGATGCAGAATTGAAACCAGCAATGTCTGGAACACGGTGCATGATGTAAAAATGGGTGCGAGCTCCCCATTTCCCACGGTCCTTCGTTCCTAAAATTATCCAGCGTCGACAATTCAAAGATTCAAAAACCCTTAGTTATAACTTCAGAAACTGTAGGTGGCGCTAAGGAGTTATTTGCGTCCCACAGACCGTTAATAGGAGCCTTCTGCCAAACACCGCAGTGTGGCTGCTAGTTGGAGCACATGTGGGATATACAGCCTATCTGACTGGTCTTCAATGACATCTAGCACTATTACAAAGGCTTCTTTGTTAGGGCGATATTCTTCTATGAATCTATTTACTCGAACAAACAATTTTTGTATCAGCAAATGTAAAAGAGGAATGTAAATTGCACTTAGATCGACTCTGGCAGCTCCAGGGGATTGCTCTTATCCCTTACAGTTTGCGCTTTATTTTCCGGGTTATTTTTCTAAATCCTTCTATCATCAAAAGCACAAGTGTGATGACAGCTGATTCGAATATCGGGTTTGCTTATTTTCGAAAAAAGCAAAATCTAATCGGTTTCATAACACCATTTCAAACAGATTTTGATTTTCAATTCTGTGTCGGTTTCTATTGTATATCACCCCCGAAAATTCAGAAATAAATTGCTGCCGTACATGGTGCTAAATTTTAGCGCAATAATCTCTAGTTTAAATATTACTTGTGCGGTCGAATAAGAATATTCTACGACCAGGGTTAAGAAAACAATTGTGTGCAAGAGCTATGTAAGTATTAATAACAAGTGGCAGGCTTTTGCGTCGAATATTATAAACAGAGTTCAAGGAAGCGCTTTCAAAATCCGACTCATCAGATGTTGTCATCGTCCATGCTTCCGCACCATATAGCAGGACGGGAATGATGAGGGCCTTGTAAAGTTTGGTTTTCGTTCGCCGAAAGGGGGACGGAGACAGTCTGGCATTCACTACGGTGGGTTGCCACAATGCGCATCAAAGCAGGATTTTTTACATATCGTTGATTTGAGCTCACGCCGCGATGGAAGAGAAGGACGCTGTGTCTAAGGAAGCCTAAGGCTGCCCCAACACGATGTGAAAATCGTGCTTGGCGATTTTAGTGCCAGGCCAGGTAAAGAAGATATCATTGGTACGACTGTTGGGAGATTCAGCCTTCACAACGAAATATCCCCTAATTGGTTGAGACTGATCGACTTCCCGTAATATGGTTGTCTGTAGTACTAGGTTCCAGCACAAAAACTACATCAAGCCACTTGGCTGTCCCCTGATCGAAAAACACAAAACCAGATCGATCATGCTGTGATAGACGGAAGATATATCTCCAGTGTTCTTGACAGGCGTTTACTCCGAGGATCCAACATCGACTCGAACCAAGATAGCGGTTGCAACGACGACACGCACCCGTCCCTGTGCATCAAAGAAGGTCCGTCGAAAACCACAAGGAATATTAGACGTCGAAAGCAATTACAACAAACAGCAGAAAAGGGTTCTACACGGCACAGCTGCTTTCTGGGAGCACTCATCAGCAACTTGATATAAGTGAACTGTGGAACGGCATCTCAAACTCCCTACGTACCGCCGTTACGGAAACACTTGATTTCGGGCACTGCCAGAAAAAGAGTTGAACTCCAGTGGAGAAAAAACAAGCTGTCTTAAAAGTGTGGCTTATCGAATAGGAGCTGCTCCTACGCCGCTATATATATATTTGGCATGTGCGCAAAACTTATACTGCTTTGTAGACTAATCTTGAGCAGCACTTAAAGATCCGTTCGTATCGGGAAGGACCTCTCCGAGCCATTCGGCACCAAACAAGGTTTCAAACAGGGTGACTTTATCGTGTGATCCCTTCAATTTGATGCTGGAGTGAATAATTAGAGCTGCAGAGCTGAATAGAGAAGGTACAATCTTATTTAAGAGTGTACAACTACTGGCGTATGATATTGACAACATAGACCTTAACAACCGCGCCGTGAGTTTAGCTTTCTTCCGACTGGTTCTTTATAGCGAAGCAAATGGGTCTGGTAGTGAGCGAGTGCAAGACGAAATAACTCCTGTCATCAAACAAAAAGTCATCGCATGCGCTTTCGGATCCCACGTTACTGTTGACAGTCATAAGTTCGAAGTCCTAGATAACTTCGTCTATGTTGGAAAAAGTATTAACACCAACAACAATGTTAGCCTGGAAATCCAACGCAGTATCACTCCTACCAACAGGTGCTACTTTGGACTGAGTAGGCAATTGCAAAGTAAAGTCCTTTCTCGGTGAACTAAAACCGAACTCTACAAGTCGCGATAAGTAGATAAGATAGTCAGCCTTAACCGAGTGCTTCAATTAAATCTTATTTGTGAAAAGTTCTTTAATAGCACTGTGCCGTGGGAAAACACTGTATTTATTACGCGAAATCGTGAATTGAAAATAAATCGAGGAAAATTTTTCGTAAGCGTCAACTGAATATCATCGAATCTAAAAGCATTCCTCGTCATTTCTCAAAAAAAATCGACACGAGAATATACACGCATTTGGTAACTGATATTTAGTTATTTGCTTCTCGCTTCTTAATAAAGGATTTTTCGTTTTTTCCTATTGTCTGTAAGTATGCAAATATTATCATTATGCATATATGCATCGGTATGTTATGGTTTTTTTCAACAGCAGACTAATTGGTTGAACATGGATATATCCGGCTACAAACAACTAAATACTCGCATGTGCGCACGCGGTAAGCGGCCTTTGCGCAATTTAACGCCAAATGACAAAGTCCGTGCGATTCAACGTATTCATAGTGGGGAGACAAAAGCGTCTGTATCTCGAGATATCGGAGTACCGGAATCAACGCTACGAGGCTGGTGTAAAAATGAGCAAAAGTTACGCTTTATGTGCCACCAAATTAACAACTCAAGTAGCTACGAAATTTTCCCGAATTTATCGCATGAAAATTTCCAATCAGCGGGGAAAAAAAGGAAATTAGATACAAGTAATCCGTTTAATATGACCACGAAGTTCATTACAGAAATTTCGAATACCGACAAAATGAATAGCTTAAATTCATCTACAAATGATAACATTAAATGTGATAACTCACTGCTAGAAGACGCCTTAGGTGAGCTCATAAAGGGTAACCTCTTGCAAAATTCGGAAGGAATGAAAAATAATATAACTAGAGGAGGAGGAGGGGAAATACCTCATACGTTTTCACTGCCATGTTCAACCACAACAACGAGTAATGCGAAAAATATTTTTAAACAACACATTTTGAAAAATTCTATGTCAATATCAGGTGCACATCCATTCTTCTCTTCAGTGCCAGAAAATTGTATGCCAAAAGCAGTTCAGTCTGGAACCCATCTTAATAGTCGAGAAAATTGTTATACCCACTATTATCCGAAATATTTTAATAAAGAAATCACTTATTCTACTGAAACAAGCGACTACAGCCCACCATTGGGAGAAAGTAAGAACGGTTACATCAATAGAAATGAAATCGATAGTACATACAATAATACCAATGAAGAGGAATCTAAATTTCTACAATGGCAAGCGATTTTTAATGCAAGTTTAAACTTCTTCGCTCTAGCTTCAGCTGCTACAACGCTTCAACCAGCTGGTTTATATGGCATTAAAAGCGACATATCGAAAATATGCACTTCGTCAGAATATTCGAGAGCATCTCCCTGCGATATTAGTACTTCGATAGTTCAAAATGATGTTTTAAATGAAGCGCCCGAAGATTTATCTTTAAGCTCAGCAAATTCTAAAACGTTCGCTACTGTCAAGAGTCTTTCACAAAGCCCTGTTAAAAGCAGCTCCGCTGGATCTGATTATTACATTTAAGTTCACTCCTCGAAATGATATAACTGTTATATAATTAACATGATAAAATGTACATATGAATAAGTGTGTATTATACCAGAGAAGCTTAGAAAATATTTGCCGAGTTATTTTTAGATTTATACACCATATCTACATATCTACATATATTCTTTCAGAATGATTAACTGAAGTAAAATAAATTCATTGAGTACATTAAACAGGTCGTTTGGAAATTTTAACCATTTGGGGTCTTTTGGAGCTACTTCACTGCCGGAGTTTTCCAGCTGATAATCAACATAAGTATTGCAATAAGTTTGCTCGGTATATGCTTTTGGCTCAAGCGACACTTTAAAATTGATCTTTTTTTTATTTAATTCTTCTTAACTTGTGATGTAGAAAAAAGCCTTTGTTATTTTTCTTTATTACGTATTATTATAGCCGACTGGTTTTTTCTTTCGACCAGTTAGTTCCAAGAAGAGAAGGTTTCCTCTTCCATTGTGGTGTTTTTCTTTTCCTTCTTGCTCCGGTACTTCGTCGGAAAGTTTCAAAGTCACACTGTTGTCGCCCATTCGAACGACATGATCTAGTAGCGTAGTTGGTCACCGTATACGAGGTGTCTTCAAAAAATATCACGATTGTCTTGCTTTTTCAAAAATTATTTATTTATTCATGAGTTTCTATTTTGTTCCCTTCAAAGCAATCCCCATGAGATATTATACACTTGTGCCAAGGGGTTTTCCAATCTTGGAAGCACTTCAAAAAATCATATTTATTTTTATCTTGTTCAGCTCCTCCTTTGACTCCGTCTTTATCTCGTCAATTGTAGCGTGACGTCGTTCTTCATGGGTCTCTTCAGTTTAGGGAACAAGAAAAAGTCACCGGGGGCCAGATCTGGGGAATACGGTGGCTGCCGCATCATTAGTGTGTTGTTTTTGGCCAAAAAGTCGCGCACAAGCAACGATGTGTGAGCAGGGGCGTTATCGTGGTGCAAAAGCCAATTTTTGTTCTGCTACAAATCCGGGCATTTCTGGCGCATTGCTTCGCGCAAATTGCGCATAACTTGCAGGTAATATTCCTTATTGACCGTTCTACCCTGTGGCAAGAGCTCATGATGCACCACGCCCCTGTAATTAATTTTTTCGTTGAAGTGCTCGGGCGTCCGGCACGCTCTTCGTCGTTCACATCTTCTCGGCCTTCTGAGAACATTTTGTACCACCGACAAACTTTGCTTCGGTCCAAGGTAGCTTCTCCGTATGCCACAGTCAACACTCGGAATGCATCCGCGCACTTAATTTCGTTTTTCACACAAAACTTGATACAGGTTCTTTGATCCATTTTTTTGAATAGGTAAAAATCGAACACCATCCAAAACACGTGCCAGCAAAGCAGCTGTCAACAATTAAGTGAACACTCAAAATAACCGAGCTTGTCGGCATAAGTGACAGACATGAGTACCAACATAACGCCACAAAAAAATCGAAATTCGTAACCAGCGAAAATTCAAAATTCGCGATACTTTTTGAACACATTTCGTATCTTGTACAGCTCATCGTACCATCGTCTGTAGTATTTGCCGTTATCACATCGCAAAGCCGGAAAAATTTTTCGGAAACATCTCCAGTAAACATATGACATCCTCGTCCATGCTTCTGCACCATATAACAGAACGGGAATGATGAGAATGATGAGAGATTTGTAAAGTTTAGTTTTTGCTTATCGACAGAGAACTCTACTTTCCAATTATCTACTCAGTAGTATCTGTCGGCGTGATTCTGTAAAAGACTGTACCTTCTCTGCTTAATTCTGTAGCTCGTATTATTTTCTCAAGCATTAGTTATAATAGTCCTTCGATAAAAAGTTTTTCAGGTCTAAAGACACACCCATAAGGTCTAATCAGTTTGTTGACAGTGCGTTTTAGTTTTTGAGACAGAACGCTCGATAGGGCCTTATAAACGATATTGAAAAGGCGTACCTATCTATAATTGACGTACGAGATTGTCGTAGAATGTGTGATCCTGCTATTTACCTGCTAATCGTTTTAGGGAGCTAAAAATGCCGTTCCACAGTTCGCTTGCACTGAGGCGCGGACGATGTCAACAGCAGATGAGTCAGCTTTGGGAGTCTTCGAGAGAAAAGTTTTGCGAACGATTTATGGTCCTTTGCGCATTGGCAACGCGAATACCGTAGACGTTGGAACGATGACTGTACGAGCTATACGATGGTATTCACATAATTCAACGAATGAAGTGACAGCGGCTACGCTGGCTAGATCATGGATGAAAGCACTCCAGCTTTGAAAGTATTCGATGCAGTACCCGCTGGTGGAAGCAGACGAAGAGAAAGACCTCCATTCCGTTGGAAGGATCAGGTGGAGAGTGAACTGATCTCACTTGATATTTCGAACTGGCGCCAAACAACGAAAAAAAGGGATGAATGTCCAGACCTGGTGGCAAGAGTGATTATGCGCTGGATTTCAAGGCTGACATTATTATTGGTATTGATGCTAATAAACGAAGTTATCTACGACTTCAAAGTTATGACTGTCAACATTGACGTGGGAGCCACGTCGCGAATGCGAGGACTGTTTGTTTGATGGCGGGAGATATTTCGTCTTGTCTTCATTCATTACCAGACCCATTTTCCTCGCTTCGCAATCAAGCCTGGAGAAAGCAGAACTAACGAGGAGGTTATTGAGGCCGCTAATGTTTTATTTTTGTTCCCAACTTATATTGCTAAGTTATATTTTTGGGAAAAGGGCCACAAGGGGAGATTTTCCGAAATTTTTAAAAGGACTTATTTCGAAAAATTCTTAATGAATATCTATCAATTGAAATATGTCGGAACACTGAAGAAAAAGTCGGAGGAGTAAGAAACTTGCTGGAATTTTTAAAAGATCCGCCAAGATTTGACTATAGAGCAAGGAGTAACGAATTCAACGAACTCCTAGCGAATATTGAGTGGACAAAGACTCACACCCAACAGCTGATCCTTAAGTAGAAGAACCGATACAGACAAGTAGAGATCTCAGTGAGTAAAGAATACTTTAGACTCAGCATGGTGTGTAGGCAGTCATTTCGGGGGTACTCAGCGACAGCCAGGGCTCAATGGTGATAATCGTTTACTGAACAGTGGTCGCCAATTAAAGTAGAATATAAGGTTCTAGAGAGCGTATTGTGTGAAAGACTAAAGCCAACCGTCAACAAACTGATTGCACCTTATCAGTGTGGTTTTAGACCTGAAAAATCAACCCATGACCAGATATTCACCTTGCTCCGTATCTTCGAAAAAATCCGTGAAAATAGAATCGATCCACCACACCTTTTCGTCGATTTCAACGCCACTTTCGGCAGCACAGTAAGGAGCTGCATCTAAGCCGCCATGTCTGAATTTGGTATCCCTTCTGTGTAAACTGACACTGCACAATTCCAGAAGCGTAGTCAGAATTATGAAGGAACTCTCCGAGCCATTCGATACGAAACGAGGTTTCAGACAAGGTTACTTGTTATCGTCTGATTTCTTTAATTTGAATAGGGAAGGTAAATACAATCTTTTACAAGAGTGTACAACTACTGGCTGTGAGTTCAGCTTTCTCCAGACTGGATCAGAAAGCGAAGGTTATGGGTCTGAAAGTGAACGAGGACAAAAAGAAATATATCCAATTATCAAACAAAGAGTCATCGCATTCGCTAATGGCTCCAACGTCGCTGTTGGCAGTCATAACTCTGTGGCAGCTTTGAAATCCAGTGCGGAATCACTCTTGCCACCAAGCGCTACTTTGGACTGAGTAGGCAATTGAAAAGCAAAGGAAAGTCATCTCCCGGCGAACGAAAGCCTAACTCTTCAAGTGACGCATCATACCCGTCCTACAATATGCCGCAGCAGCTTGGACGATTTCAACATTGGATGAGTCTGTTTTGGGAGTCTTCACGAGAAATGTTTTGTGAACAATTTATGGCCCTTTGCGTATTGGCAACGGCGAATTCCGCAGAGGATGATATTGACATAATTCGACGAAAACAGAGACAGCGGCTACACCGGCTTGGTCAGAGGATGGAAAAGACCTCCACTTCGTTGAAAGGATCAATTGGAGAGTGATCTGGTTTTCTTTCGTATATCCAACTGGCGCCAAACAGCGCAAAGAAGGAATGAATGGTGCGCTAATACTAATTCGGCTGTAATCGCGTAAACGGTGCTAACGCCAATACAGAAGAAAAAGATATTAATGATAACATGGACAGTTTTTAAGCAATTACCAATCCAGATAAGTAAGCAGTAATGTGTTTTAGTATCAGGCATAAATATGGTCATACCGGAGTTAAAACGAAGTCGGTAAGCGAAAAACTCTATAAGTGGGAATAATTTTCATGCCTCGATATTTAACACCCCAAAAACTTCTAAAAGTGGAAACCAAAAACCTCTATAAAAGGCTCTTCTTCTTCTCTCTTCGCTTCTACCTTTAACTAATGTGTCATGTTTATTACATTTGATAATTACCTTTTGCAAAGCAAGGTTCGGTACAGAACTTGTATAAATCACTACTAAGGCTATGCGATTTTCTTGTAAGGTTATTAAATTAAATTATACTTATCTTGTTAATAACTAAATATTATGTTTTGAATATTACATAGGCTTACTAAGCTGACTTTTTTGTACCTCTTGTTGCAGAAATTAGCGAGAAGCCTCTATAAGCAGACCTTCGAACTCTCCATATTAACCAGATTTTACTGCACTTTGCATTGTTAAAAAAATTAATATAATAAAATATTATCTTTTCTAAAGTGACTGTCGATACGTATAATCTTTTGGCGACCCCCATTGGTATCAATAGTTGCTTTACTCGATCATTGAAAGGTCGAGGCGCTAGGTGTATCAATATACAAAATGGACTAACTAAAGAACTAATAAATCAGTGCTGTCGGAACCTTTTTTCGGCGTGGCTACAAGAGTGGCCAACAGATCTATTCAATGGCCACTTTTTCCAAAACCTAAAAAAAAACAGTGAAAACAAGTCGAATTTCCATTTTTGCATTTATTTTCGATTGGTAATGCGACGTATGACGTTTTTCTTATGAGTTAAAATTAACCGAAACAATGATTGTTTATTTAAGATTATTGC